AGACAGAGCAGCGGACGCCGGCTACCCGCAGTGTTCCGAGTGCTGGAGCCCCCTCCTGGGCCCTCTCTCCTCAGTGGAACGGGAGGACTACTATGGCGTCAACATCCCGCGTGATTTGATTGCACAGCTTGCATACCAGGGGCAGCATCACGCCATAAAAGACGCAGCCAATCAACATCCTCCATAGCGCTGACTTACAACTTCAGGTCTTTCTGGAGGGGAAAACAAGAGGGAGTTTGGATTCATTTCTGACACTAGGACCTCCTGGGCTCCACCTCCCTGCGGTGGGCGCGGGGGAATTCTCTCTTCTCTTCTCTGGTCCTGCCAGCCGCTGGATCCCTCCTGCATCTTCCTGAGTGGCTTCTGCTTGGGGGTTGAACGTAATTCAGGTCAGCTACAATTTAATGGCTGTTTATTGACTTAAGAGCCTTTGTTTTTTTATCATATATCCGACACTTTTCGTCTAATGAATCTTCTATGCTATTTTTAATATTGATTTAAAGAATGTTTACGTATATAACGTAATTTAATCCTTTTTTCCAATTTTACTTGAACATTTATTTCTAGTTTGCCTGTTGTCCTTTAATATTATTTTCTATTTGCTTCTTCCTGGTACTTAGTAGAAACACACACACACACACACACACACACACACAATCTTTCCAGTAATCTCATTTATCAATTGTATTTGTTTTTAGTTTTTCCTGGATTATCTCTGTATATAAACCTCATCCAATATATTCACATTTTACAACTTATAAATTGATCTTTACACCATATAATTTCTTCTTGCTGTTTTATTTCCCTTACTGCCCTTGAAGTAGAAAGCTCGAGAGAGTGCAGGAATCGTGGTCTAAGTTTACTCCCAGGGAGAAAAAGCTTCAAGGATGCTGTATTACTTGTGTTGTTGGCTGTAGGTTCATTTCGCTCTTGATCGGAGTAGCGAAGTCACTGGCTTTTTTGTTGTTCTGCAGGCAGTTTTCTTTTTTACTAGATGCTGAACTTTATTAAAGCCTTCCAACATGTAATCTAAATGACCATGTGATTTTCTTCTTGTGTTTTTTACCTACTTGGATGACTTGTCTGAGAATCTTTACCACTCTTGTGTGTTTTACTAAGTCCTGCTTGCTATTGATATATTTTTTATGTTATTTCATTTATTATATTAGTACTTTGCTGCAGATATCTGTAGCTATGTTTATGAAAGGGATGCTTTTAATAAAACTTAATGTTTATTTCAAGTCCTGGTCTGCTTGCATCATCCTCACTGCAATGCAGGTGTTCCATAAGAAACCAAGAAAAAAGCTCTACTTAGTTGCACTTTGGGTGAAATGTAGATTTGTTTTTCCTTCTCTAAAATTTTGGAGTATTCTGTAATTCTGGATCTGAAATTTTGATTCTGTGACTTTTTTCTTGATTGGTTGTTTGGAATTTTCAAAAGTATGATTTAACTTACCTGATTTATATAGTTTTCCTACTTTATGTTATATTTGTTTTTTGCAAATTTGATTTTCAATATAGGGAAGATTTTGATTCCTGTAGTGAAATGTTACTTCTAAGAATTTCATACCTTTCTCCTAGCGCCTTGGTCAAAATTATAACCTACAAAGGAATGATTCTGTTTTAATTCCTAAACTGGTTATTTGTGTTACTTTCCCCATTGGTTCCTTAATTGTTTTTCCTAATGGTTTATTAACTTTGTTAATATTTTTCTTAAAAAAAGTCATTGTGTCCTTGTTTATTTGTGATACATTTTATAGCACTTCATAGATGTCTGCTGTTTTCTTTTTTCTTGCTTTTCTTCAATACTTTTTGATTTTTTTCTTTATAATTCTTAACAAGGAAGCTGTAATGATGATTTTGAGTGTTTTATTCTATTGTAATCATTTGACTATAAATTATCTCTGAGCACTCATTTACTGCATCCTCAGTGTCCCTTCAGGTGTTTCTAACACCTGTGTGTGCAAGCTGTGTCTGTCTCCCAGTATCCCTAATTCCATGTACCTGCAGCCATCACAGGTTACATGTGTCTCCAGGTCTGAAACCCATATGTACTGATTGGTAGATTAGTGCTTCAGTCATTAGAGGCCCATTCCTTACACTTGTGTGCCCAGTTAATCACAGCCCATCAACTACCCTTTCCAAGTCTGCAAAAGGACTATGGCCCCTTAAAATATATCACATCTTAATTTCTTTTAGAGAAGCAGATACAATTTCCCAGACAGCCCAAGTTAGAAATTTCCACAGAAACTACTGACAACATTGAAGTGTCAGCTTCGATATCAACCTTTCATATCAAATAGAACTGCTCTGATTGTCAGGTGTTTTTTCTTTACAGGGCTGCCTGTTAATTGCCAATTTGTGTCGATGCTAATGAGAGTCATATATCTTATTTTTCTATTAATTCTCATGACATTCTGGAGTGGCATGAATGGCAAAATTCTGTCCTCATTTGAAGAAGGTGGCAAAAATTATATCTTTGTGTAAAAATAGTTCAAGTTTTTGAAGTGCTCTGGATAAAAAATAAAATAATGTCCCAGTGCTTTGGCCAGAATAGTTGAAAGTCCTCAGTAATGGATAATACATGATCTTAAAACAGAATAATGGAGAGTAAATTTCAATAAGGAAGCTGGGAAAAGATCATTTAAGCTGAAGAAGTGAACAACAAATTTAGATATTTTAATGAAGGGAAGAAAAATGCAGGTGTATAATCAAAGGATAAAGGAGGACTGAGCTGGAAGATGAAGAAAAAAAAGGAAACATGGTTACTGTAGTTAATAACAATGTATTGGCCGGCACCGCTGCTCACCAGGCTAATCCTCGGCCTGCAGTGCCGGCATCCTGGGTTCTAGTCCTGGGTGGGGCACCAGTTCTGTCCTGATTGCTCCTCTTCCAGTCCAGCTCTCTGCTGTGGCCCGGGAGTGCAGTGGAGGATGGCCCAAGTCCCTGGGCCCTGCACCTGCATGGGAGACCAGGAGGAAGCACCTGGCTCGTGGCTTCAGAACGGTGCAGCGCCAGCTGTAGCAGCCAATTGGGGGGTGAACCAATGGAAGGAAGACGTTTCTCTCTCTCTCTCTCTCTCTCTAACTCTGCCTGTCAAAAAAAAAAAAAGATTATTTTAGTTCAAAAACACTTGAATCCATATACAGATTTTTGTAATACACATTTCAATGAGTTTTTAAAGATCCCTTAATTACCGCACCGCGGCAGGCCATTGGCAGGGTGAACCAACGGCAAAGGAAGACCTTTCTCTCTGTCTCTCTCTCTCACTGTCCACTCTGCCTGTCAAAAAAAAAAATCCCTCATATTCATGAATTTCAAATTATCTTGCACCAAAATAAACTTACCTTTGAATTCCATTCACCTCAGACTTTTCAAATATCTATTGTGAATAATAAATGGATATATAATGTATATATTTTAATTTTTATTTTAATTGAAATCTATTTTTATGTTTTCAAATAAATAAATAAGAAACATAAAATGAGACTGTTGGGGGATTTTAAGCATGGAGATCTGTTCTGTTTGTGATGGTTTTAAGAGATCACTTATCAGCTGGCACCGCAGCTCAATAGGCTAATCCTCCACCTGCGGTGCTGGCACTCCAGGTTCTAGTCCCGGTCAGGGCGCTGGATTCTGTCCCAGTTGTTCCTCTTCCAGTCCAGCTCTCTGCTGTGGCCCAGGAGTGCAGTGGAGGATGGCCCAAGTCCTTGGGCCCTGCACCCACATGGGAGACCAGGAGAAGCACCTGGCTCCTGGCTTCAGATCAGCACAGTGCGCCGGCCACACCACGCCGGCCGTAGTGGCCACTGAGGGGTGAACCAATGGAAAAAAGGAAGAAAAAGAAAAAAAAAGAGATCACTTATCTTTTAGACACTGGACTATAGGATCCAGTTTGGAGACTAATCTCTTTGGGTGCACCAACAACGACCTATCTGTTTTTTTCTGGTGGAGATTTGAATTTTGACCTCCAACTTTTCCTACTTATTTGTTGATTGATTGTTGCCATAAAAAACACTGGAAGGAACATCATATGAAGATGTCTGTGTCTGTTCCTGGCAGACCAACTCTTGTAGCAGTGCAATGTGTGATGCACATATTGCATATACACATTGTCTTCGAGTCAAACATGTTCAATTTGAACCCATAAAGACTTGTATTCCTGTTCCTGTTTCAAGGATATTCAAGAAATTGACTGAAATAGTCAAAGGCAACCCAAGAGAATTCAGACAAAAAGTAGAGAATGAGGTGGGCTTTGGGAGAGCTGGCCTTTGTCTCCAACACATCATGAACTGTTAATGGGAATGAGCAAGACTAAATGACTGAAAGGTCAAAGAGAGAATCCAGTCAGTTTCCCTGCATTGTCCCCTGGATGTGTCTGACACCGGAAAAATTGAAGTAATCATTGCTTATTAAAGGGAATGGAAATGCATTGCTGAACAAAAATATTATTAAATCCGGTAACTATTGTACACATAGAATGTTGACATATTGGAAAAAAGCAATATTATATTTTTTTAAAGATTATTTATTTGAAAGTCAAAGCAGAGAGGCAGAGGCAGAGAGAGAGAAAGAGAGGGAGAGAAATGGTGAGAGAGAGGGAGAGACAGAGAGACAGAGACAGATACAGAGAGACAGAAAGACAAGAGAGAGGTTTTCCATCTGCTGGTTCATTCCCCATATGTCCGCAACAACCAGAGCTGGGCTGATATGAAGCCAGGAGCCAGGAGCTTCTTCTGTGTATCCTATGCAGGTGCCCTAACCCAAGGATTTGGGTAATCTCCCACTGATTTCCTAGGCCTTAGCAGAGAGCTGGATCAGAAGTAGAGTAGTCAGAACCTGAACCAGCACCCACATAGGATGCTGGCACTACAGGCAGCAACTTTACCTGCAATGCAACAGCACCAACCCTACATGATGGGATCTGGGATGATATGATAAGCCTTTTAAATTTAATAGAAAATATATATTATGGAAAAGCCATGCATGGATGTAAATATATTTCGCTTCAAAATCTTATTTTTAATTTAATTCTTGCAAAAGCTTCTTGAAATGCCCTGTACATTATGCTAAGAAATATTTTAAACCCTATGTTGTTTTTGTATGACTCCATTTTCAATGTGATACTTACTTGCCTTTTCTAAGGCTGTACATTATGACTAAGAAGAATATAAAACTTCGCATCTGCAGTTGTTAAATTTTGGACTTCAAAATCAGAAATGTCATCTATTGGAAGTTAAAGATGTTAATCCTCTAGTCTCTCCTAGATACTTTGCACTGTTTACCTATAAACTTGGGGTATTCAGTTTACTATTTGGATTACTCTGTGCTGGAGATGCATAGCTGACAGCTGGCACTTTCTTGTGAAATTTGGTTCCACTTAAAACAAAACAAAAGAAATACCAGCACTGCTCACAGGCCTGCAATTTATTGTTAAATAAATGTTGTATAAACCTTCAATAAATTTTCAAAACATTAGAAGTTAGTAAGAAGAAAGTGAAAAGCAATAAGACTCAAAGAAAATGCTTAGCAATAGTGCTAATGTCAGAGATGTTACCATTTTAGTTACATGCACTATACCAATTAAGTTATTTCAAATTCGGACATGAGCACACCATTTCCCATAACTACCTTTATATACAGTTAAAAACCTGGGATCCTATGTAGAAAAGTGCTAGTAGCTCAAGTCTCACTTGATTAGAGTCATTGGAAGTCTATAAAATGTACACTGACTTATCAGAGTAAGGGGAAAATAAAGCCAAGGAAAAATAGTCCAAAAGGAAAAATGTGCTCATTTAGATTTCAGGTAATAACCTTTATAGATGTTCTCATGGATAATCAATGCATACATAGTTATCATTCATTCGCATACATTTCATTTTTATTTTTTAAACTTTTAATAAAAATTTGTTTTTGTTTCTGGAATCACATTTTACTATACTTTGTATGTTCCCATCAGAGTAAACTTGAAGTTGCTTACGTCAAAAAGGTCCACAAGTGAAGAACTTACTCAGAAAAGAGGTTGCCAACCATGAATCACAGGAGCAGTGCTCACTGCTACCTGAATACTTCAAAGTCTGTATGAGCTGTTTCAATGGAGACAGCTGTAGTTTTACAGTAAACTTTCTATTATTGAATTGCATTTTTTCATATGGGCAGCTTACATCATTAGAAAACTATTTATTTTCATAATACATTATTCCCATGTGTATCTGCAAGGTGCTTACAGGCATACTACTGAATATATTAAACAATCATGACCTAGTTTCAGTGTAAGAAATTTGAATCTCTCTCATAAAGCAAGAAACATCCACAGTTGAGATTTACATAAGTAGTACCTCTTTAAATAAATAAAAAATAAAATGATATCCTGTCTATAAAGTTGTACTAGTTCATTTTACAGATTATTAAAGTGCTTATGAATGCATTAGTTCTCAGTAAATAAACATGGTGCTACAACACATCTAAAAGGAAAAAGTCATCACACTGGCCCATAGAAGTGCCTGGGATTATTTTATATCTCTTAACATTAGAAAAATTAAATGAAATAAAGAATTAAAATTAAAAGAGAAACAAGAAATTTTACAAAATTAGAACACTATGGCCTAAAAATATACTGAAATATTCAATTCGGTAACTAAGTCATTTCTGGATTGAACACTGTATAATTAGGTTTGGAGAGTGCTTCTGTTAGCAAGGTCATAAGGTATGTGGAAATAATATAAGCATTTTATAAAGACTGATCCTGAAACAGTAATTGTTTATAAACATCACATATACCTGGTGCTGTGATATAGAAGGTTAAGCCTCCACCTCTGGTGCTGACATCCCATTTGTTCCTTAGTTCAAGTCCTGGCTTCCCCACTTACAATCTAGCCCCCTGCTAATCTGCCTGGGAAGGTAGCAGAGGATGGCTGATGTACTTGTGCCTCTGCACCCACACAGGAGACATGGAAAGGTTTCCTAGCTTCTGACTTCAGCCTGGCACAGCCCCAGTCACTGTGGCCATTTGGGGAGTGAACCAGTTGATGTAAAATTCTCCCTCTCTCTCTCTCTCTCTCTCAAGTAAATAAATAAATCTTTCAGAAATAAATAAAAATCACATGCTAAGATACAACCAGCATACTCAAGGCTTTTGATTTTGATGGAATGAAATCTTAGAGTGGGAATACAAATGAAACCAATAATCATGGAGATGCCACTTGTTTTCACCAAAGTAAACAATAGGAACATCATTTCAAGGAATAGTACATTGACAGACTAAAATGAGAAACTGTGAACAATGTTAGTTAGTACCAAAATATTCCCTAAGTTTGGAAGTAGTTCTAGTTCTGTTGCCTGTACAATTGCTCTTCAAAACATGTGTTCTCCTTAGAAAATATGTCTTCTGAATGGCTTTGTAGTCAGTGTGGAAAAGTAGGAAATGAGGTTCACAGTGAAGCTGAGTAAAATGCTTCCAAGATGATTCATTGTATCAGTTAGTAATCTCACCATACCTACATGTTGAATTTCAGGATTTTGTTTTTTAACTCCTTCTCAAGTCTGTGGGCTTCAGCTCCTCAGGCAGTAATAATATTTTTCATGTTTAAGTATACAGGTCCCTGCTGTATATTATTCTATAGAGTACCTGTCCCATAATTTCTTTATCCAGTCTACTGTTGATGGGCATTTGGGTTGGTTCCAGGTCTTAGCTATTGTGAATTGAGCTGCAATAAACATTAATGTGCAGACAGCTTGTTTGTTTGCCAATTTAATTTCCTTTGGGAAATTCCAAGGAGTGGTATGGCTGGGTTGAATGGTAGGGTTATCTTCAGGTTTCTGAGGAATCTCCAGACTGATTTCCATAGTGGCTTAACCAGTTTGCATTCCCACCAACAGTGGGTTAGTGTCCCTTTTCCCCCACATCCTCTCCAGCATCTATTGTTGGCAGATTTCTGAATGTGAGCCATTCTAACTGGAGTGAGGTGAAACCTCATTGTGGTTTTGATTTGCATTTCCCTGATTGCTAGTGATCTTGAACATTTTTTCATGTGTCTATTGGCCATTTGGATTTCCTCTTTTGAAAAATGTCTATTGAGGTCCTTGGCCCATCTCTTAAGTGGGTTGTTTGTTTTGATCTTGTGGAGTTTCTTGATTTCTTTGTAGATTCTGGTTATCAACCCTTTATCTGTTGCATAGTTTGCGAATATTTTTCCCATTCTGTCGGTTGCCTCTTCACTTTCCTGACTGTTTCTTTTGAAGTACAGAAACTTCTCAATTTGATGCAATCCCAAATGTTAATTTTGGCTTTGACTGTCTGTGCTTCTGGGGTATTTTCCAAGAAGTCTTTGCCAGTACCTATATCTTGCAGAGTTTCTCCAATGCTCTCTAATAATTTGATGGTGTCGGGTCGTAGATTTAAGCCTGTAATCCATGTTGAGTGATTTTTTGTGTAAGGTGAAAGGTAGGGGTTTTGCTTCATGATTCTGCACATGGAAATCCAATTTTCTTAGGGGATGATTTTATGGTTATTGGTGATTGCTTTGCCTCAGGATTTTGGTTTTAAGATCTGGCATGCTATAGTGACTCTCCTATGGCTGGTTTTGTGTGGCACAAACTGGAAAGGACAGATTCTGTTGCCTAGTAACCACAATAGTCTCAGGAAATGTATTGAATCTTTAATTTGCTTTCAGAAGTATGAACATTTGATGATGTTGCTTCTCCCAAGTCATGAACATGGAAGTTTTTTTTTTCATTTTTAAATGTTGTTTTTTTTTATTTCTTTCTTTAGTGCTTTTGTAATTTTCATCAAAGAGAACTTGGTTGGACTTCTTTCTTAAATTTATCCCAAGATATTTAATTATTTTTGGAGCTAATGTTAATGGGACTTATCTTGAAAGATCTTTCTCAGCTGTGGCATTGTCTGTGTATACAAAGGCTATTGATTTTTCTGTGCTCATTTTATATTCTGACACTTTACCAAACTCTTTTATGAGTTCAAACAGTCTCTTAGTAGAGTCTTTCAGATTCCCTATATATAGGATTATGTCATCTGCAAATAGGGATAGTTTGATTCCTTCTTTTCCAATTTATATCCTTTTGATTGCTTTTTCTTGCCTAATGGCTCTGGCTAAACCTTCCAGGACTATATTAACTAGCAATGATGAGAGTAGGCGTCCTTGTCTGGATCTGAATCTTAGAGGGAATGCATTCAGCTTTTCACCATTCAGTAGGATGCTGACCATTGGTTTGTCATAAATTGCCTTGATAATGTTGAGGAACATTCCTCCTATACCCAATTTGTTTAAGGTTTTCCTCAGGAAAGGATGTTGTATTTTATTAAATGCTTTTCTGCATCTATTGAGATAATCATATTGGTTTTGTTCTTAAGTTCGTTCATGTAATGTATCACAATTATTGATTTGTGAATGTTGAACCATTCCTAAATACTAAAAATAAATCCCACTTGATCCAGGTGAATTATATGCCTGACGTTTTGCTGGATTCGAGTAGCTAATATTTTGTTGAGGAGTTTTACACCTATGTTCATCAGGGATATTTGTTTATAGTTCTCTTTATTGTATCATTTTTCTGACTTAGAAAGTAAATGATTAACATTTCATTTAAGGAGTTTGGGAGGATTTCCTCACTTTCAATTTTTCTGAGTAGCTTGAGAATAATACTGTTAGTTCTTTAAATGTCTGGTAGAATTCAGAAGTGATGCCATTAGGTCCTGGGCTTTTCTTTGTTGGAAAGGTCTTACTGATTCATTCTCTGTTGGTTATCAATCTGTTTAGATATTCTATGCCTTCATGACTAAATTTTGGTAGATTATATGTGTCTAGGAATCTCTCCATTTTTTCTAGTTTTCCAATTTTTTGGCTCACAGCTTGTTCTAGTAATTCCTCATGATTCTTTTTATTTCTGTGGTGTCTGTTATATTTCTATTTTCATCTCTAAATTTATTGAATTGTGTCTTCTTCCCCCTTTTTTTGTTAGTTGGCCCAATGATGTATCAATTTGCTTATTTGCAAAAAATAAGCTCTTCATTTCACTGATCTTTTGTGTTGGTTTTTGCTTTGAGTTTTATTTCTTCTCTAATTTTAATTATGCATTTCTTCCTACTAATTTGAGGTTTGGTTTGTTATTTTTTTAGGTCCTTGATATACATTAATAGCTCATGTATTTGGTTCCTTTCCAATTTATTCATGTAGGCAACAATTGCTATACTTTGCTCTTAACACTGCTTTTACTGAATCCCATAAATGTTGATATGATGTATTGTCACCTAATCCCATAAATGTTGATATGATGTATTGTCACCTTCATTTGTTCCCAGAAAATTTTTGATTTCACTTTTGATTTAGTCTATGAACCACTGTTCTTTCAGGAACATGTTTTCAGTCCCATGTGTTTGCATATGATCTAGAGATTCCCGAGTTGTTGATTTCCAGCTTCATTGCATTGTGGCTAGAGAAGATGTATGTTGTGTTTCAACATTTTTTTAATTTGTTGAGACTTACTTTATGGACTTAGCATATGGTCTAGCCTAGAGAAAGTTCCATGCACTGATGAGAAAGATGTGCATTCTTCAACTGTAGGGTGAAATGTTCTGTACATATCTGTTAGGTCCTTTTGGTCCATAGACGCTATTACCTATGTTTCTGTACTGATTTTTTTGTCTATTTGATCTATTGATAAATGTTGGATACTGATATCCCCCCTTACTATTGTATTGTAGTCTATATATCCTTTTATATCCATTAACATTTCTTTTGAATAGCTAAGCACCTTATGATTAGCTGTGTATACATTTATTTTAGTCACATCTTCCTGTTGAATTGATTCCTTAATCATTATATAAAGCCCTTCTTCATCTGTTACAATTTTTTGTGTTAAAATCTATTTTGTCTGATATTAGGATGAAAACACCTGACATTTTTACTTTCCATTGGCATGGAAAATTTTTTCCAGTATTTTACTTTCAGTTGGTATGTATCTTTGGTAGTGAGATGTTTTTCTTATAGGTAGCAAATAGATGGTCATATGTTTTAATCCATTCAGCCAGCCTGTATTTTTTAACTGGATAGTTGAGGCCATTCACATTCAATGTGACTATTGATATTTAACAACTTGGCTCTGCCATTTTCCAGTAAATATTCCTAGTGCTTACTTTGGATTTCTTTTGTATGTTTACTGGAGGATTATCAAACTTTACATTCTTTCATATTGATGGCTATCTTTCTGTGTTTCTGTGCATAACACATCCCTAAGCAGCTTATGTAAAGCTGGATGAGAAGTGACAAATTCTTTCAATTTATGTTTGTTATGAAAGGTGTTTCTTTCACCTTCACTCATAAATGACTACATAGCAGGCTACAGGATTCTGGGTTGACAGTTTTTTTTTTTTTTCTCTTAAGATTTGGGATATATGCTGCCATTCTCTCCTAGCTTGTGTTTCTGATGAGAAGTCAGCTGTGAGTCTAACTGGATCCTCTGAAAGTAATCTGGATTTCTCTCATGCACATTTTATGGTCTTTATGGTGAATATCTTTTCTGGTAATATCTGTTAGGAGATCTATATACTTCCTCTACATGAGTGTTCCTTTCTTTCTCCAAATTAGTGAAGTTTTCTCTAATTATTTTACTAAATGGGGCTTCTAATCCATTCTCTCTTTCTACACCTTCAAGAACTCTAATACCTGTATGTTGTGTTATTTGATAGTATCCCATAAATCTCCAACACTGTTTTTAAGTTTTCTAATTTCTTCTTTTTCTTCTTCTTTGATCTAATTGAATGATTTCCAAAGTTTTGTTTTCTAGGACAATATTCCTTCTTCTTCCATGCCAAGTCTGCTGTTATGGCTTTCCACCACATATTTTATTTGGTCTATTGAATTTTTCATTTCTAATATTTCATTGTGATTTCTCTTTAACATATCAGTTTCATAGGAAAATTTTCATTCATACCATGTATGGTTTTCTTAAGTTTGTGGATTTGCTTCTGGTTGCTTAAGAATAACCTATGTTTACTTTTTAATTCTATTTCCAGAATTTCCTCAATCTCTTCATCCAAACATTTAAATATTGAAACATAGTTGTATTCCTTTAGGGGAGGGTAACAGGGTCTTCTTTATTATTGTTTCTTGAATTTCTTCATTTGTATTTAGTTAAATACAATGAATAAATTTGTGGAGTTTTTTTTCTTTTCATGGTAGAGTTTTTTTTTTCTTTGAGCTATGAATCTATGACTTAATGTAATGCCTGCACTTTTATTAAATACCCAGAGGTATATGGTTGGTATGGCCACGGAGCTCTGGTCAGCGCTTAGGTGTGGGGTAATTTCCAGAGTAGCACACAGGTGGTTATAGTAGATCTCAATGCCTGGGTGTGTTCTGAACCATTATAAACCCCACAAGTGTTCTGCACAGTCTTCACTGTGAGCACATTTTCTGCTGCAAAGACCTGTTATTAGTAACCAAGGAAATCCAAGCATGTGGAGCTGCAACCAGTGATTGCCCACAGGCCCCACTATACCCTGTACCTTTTCATGTATCCACCAAGTCTCTACAGTCTCAGTACAAAAGGCCCCAACAGACTCCGAGTGCACAGGTTTCTCTGCCCTACCAGGCTGTCCAGTCAATAGAGTGGCAAATGTTCCCCGAGACAGTTCTGCCTAGGTGTCTTGCTCCTGGGAGTCTGTGGGTGCTTTATTGTCCTCTGAGGTTGACCGCCTACCTCCCTGTCAGGCTCAAAGTCAGTGGGGACTGCCTAGTATTCTCTTTGCTAGAGTCACTGGATCACATGCATACATAAAAGTCACTGGCCAAATGTTGCTATCTCCTTACCATTACTGCCAGTACTGCAAAAAACAGGGAGTCCTGCTCAGCCAGTTGCTGTGCATGTGCACAAATTCTTCTGCAGCTCCTGCTCTAATCCAAAATGATGCTCACTCCTTCTCATCCAAGCAGCAGGAGCTTTCATGGGGAAGTTGAGGTGAATTAAATATGCCCCTTGTCCTTCCACTGGGTCCGTGGACAACCTGTAGCAACTGCTGGCCTCCAGAGCTCCAGTCCAGACTCACACTGTGACTCCCTCTGGCTATATCACCATGGGTTGCTTCAGCCCAGCCTCACCTCTGTCTCCAAGCTGCCTCCTGCTCCAGCTCTTGGCTGCTTCAGTTGTGCTTGTGCTGGTGTTCTTACTGCATGTCTGCACCTTCCACACAGGTCCATGACATTCCTTTTCCTGTTGTAGGATTTCCAGTGCAGTTTTCTCTCCTATTCTATCCTGAGAGTGTACTCCCTATCCTTTTTCTTCCTGTTCATCTGTAGCCTATCACAGTGTGTTGGTCCCAAATTCACCATCTTGGAATCTCACTATAGTTATTCTTATCACAGAAGAGTGAGTGAGTTGTAAGAAGAGTCGATTCTGTAATATCACCCACAAACCTCACTCAATTTGGAATTTGGCTTAGAGACTACTAGAATGAAGCCAGTGGGGATTCATAGCAGAGACAATGCTCCACAGAGAAGCAGATTAAGTCAGAGTTGTGAAGTTGGAGGGTATTTGAAATCTTCAGAATTATTTTGATCAATGTGAAACCTAAAGCAACTTTCATTCCTGGGAGATTGAAATGCTAAGACAAAAGGGTAAGTCATAGTGTGTGTACTTTTGTGTTCTATAACACCTATGGAGTTTCTGGCTAAAAATGAACAAGTATTTCTGATAGGAATTTGAGCCAATAAAATGATATATTTAAAACACAGTTTGGAAAAATTTGATAAATAAATTATTCATGAAAATATGCATGGCTACTTTTTTTAATCTCTCAAAAGTGTTCCATCCTCCCCATGCCAACCCACAGGCATGTGAAATTTCCTTTAACATTTCCATGTTTTTTCTTAAGTATGGAAATCAATGTCAAAACCAAAACTGTCTGTATGACTTCTTCCTCAGCATTTCCAGTTGATTATTCATGGAGTGCTGAGGAGGAATGTGAAATAAATAAGACCAAATAGCAGTGCTTATTTCCAGGTGACTTTCCATTATATAGTCAGTCATGTTCTTACAATTATTTTGGTTGTTTATCTTGCATGTTCATAAATCTTGTATGTTCATAAATTGTAATTTTAAATATAATTAGAAATCAGTGACATAACTCAAAGAATGATTTATTACACTCAGGAAGTACTGAGGGCAAGCAGTCTTAAAGTAAAGCACCATATTTTTATAGGTTTGAATTAAAAGCTCTTAATTTTGTAAAACACATCTAGACTATAAGATTAGAGATCAGATTATCCATTATTATTTACAGCCAGTTGGATCTGTAAAAGAAAGAAATTACAAAATAAGTCTGACATGATACAAAGCAATTTCACACCAGATGTTTATCTAGATTTTAAAATTAACTTAACCCCATTTTTTTTTAGTCAACAAGTATCCTAGGCCAACAGTACCTGTTCAACAGTCTAATACTTGAGGTTGTCTCTAAGACAAATAAGTGTGTTCAGGCCACTGTCAGACATCTTCCAACTTCATCCTGAGAGTAGATAGCTGAGGTGGTCTACTATTGAGTATATACAGTATTATAGTCTATAGATTATACACCACAATGGAGACAGAAGAAATCCTGTCACTGTTGATGATTTAATCCATGGAGAACCTACAAAGAGAAGAAAGGAAACAAAGTACAAATCCATTCTCTAAGTACTTCAGATGAAGGAAGCTGACTAAGATAGACTCAGGGGCATCTTCCTGTGTTCTACATATTAAACTAGTCACTTATCTCTGATTAACAGCAAGCATTGATGTTGACTTTTCTTTAGACCTAATTTTTTCCTGGGATATATTTTTTACCATCTACCTTTGGGTTAACACAGAAGTTTGTAAGTTTGAAGCTTGTAAAAGATGACCTATTTTATCTATGAGCACAGCAAAATATTTACCATCAAACTACAGTACAAGATAGTTTTTGAACACCCATGGTTGTTTTTAACAAGAAAATTAACAGGAAACAGAGGGAAATATCTCAAACTTTGTGGCAAACAAAGGGAGATCAAGGATCAAAGGAGAGAGAAATACATAGGAAAGTAGGGCCCTCATTCATAAGGGTGATAGGTGCTGAGTGTCTTAGTGCAAGAACATTTCAGCTCTCTTATAGAGTTGTGAAAAAGTGAAGAGACCAAAGGGGAACTGATGCCATCCATCATCCTTTTACATTAAATAGGACTCCCACACTAATTCACAACCTTGAAAGTGCAAATGATATAATACTGGCAGCCAATGTGAATGTAGGCAGGTGTATCATAATTCCAATGACTTTAGAAAGAATTCACTCAATGTCATAAGTTATAAGAAAAAAACAAACAATGACTACTAATCAGCACCATAACTCTTCACTACTGGAAAGAATGCCCTCCCCTATGTGCACTAACAAGATGTAGAAACATGATTCTCAGCTGGGTAAGTTTGACTTCCCAGAATTCTGAAAACTGTCCAGAGACATTTCCAGCTGTCACATAAGGGGCTTCACTGCCTTCCAGTGGATAGCTGTCATCCTCCTAAAAACAGCACTGGCCTGTGCCCCAACTATTATCCAGCTCAAAATGAGTATGGTGCCCAAGTAGAGCATTTTGGCATAGGAAAAGGGTCTATATTCCCCCCTCTTTCAAACTCTTCACCTTTTAAACCACTTTTCCAATAGTTTGAGATATTGGGATATTTTTGCATCATGAGCAAAGTTTTTCATAGAAGAGTGGGCACAGTAGGCAGAATTTTAAGGTGGCCTCTGACTTATGCACACTGTGTTATGCCCTGCATTTCCCTCACCCTTAGATTAGCGCTGAGTCTAGATGATTAAGGATGGCAAAGCTGATATATAGACACTCCTATTGTTATGGCCTTTGACATGAGGAACCACTTGAAAGACTTGAGGGAAATTCCCTTGCTGGACTGTGTACTGTGGTATGAGTGGGAAGTACAAATATACCCTAGGAACTGAGGTTAGATGACAAGTAACACAGAGAAGCTGGATCTCTCAGTCATGTGCCATAAGGAAATAAATAATGCTGATGATAAGTATGTATTCATGAGCAGATAAATCTGATCCTGCAGATGACAGCCAATGCATGTAGAAATTTGATGGTGTCTTCAATTATGACTGTAGCCCTTTCTTGGCAAGGGGGTCTTTCCTGGTCTCCTGGGCTTCCTACTCTACCATGACTGTTTACTGCCTGCTTTTCTAGATGATTCATTCCACAGTCCTTCTCTCTCAGATCCTCCATGTCCCTGGATATTTCCTGTAAGCATGATCAGTCCCTAAGTTAAACTAATAAAACTAAGAATCCTGTCACAGTGACTTCAGCAAGGTGTTTCAATACTAACATATCTAACATGTTGAACCTGCCTAACTTCTTAAAATAAAGCTTTCCAAAATTATATGGTCAGAATCTTATATTTTCCTGTATATCTTATTTCACTTATACCAAGTGTTTCTTTAAGTATTTTTGCGTCTTACTCATTAATGTGATTCAGATTAGAAATATATTTTTATTCATGCGCATGATTTTTACATTCTGTGTCTCAGCAGTGTGAGAAGAGGAAGACAACTTTACACAAGAGAAGGAAATGAAGAACTGTGATTTTTATGCTGTCCAGTCTGATCATAGTGACTTCAGTCCACCAGATTGAAACCTTAAGTACTCAGTGAGACACACTTAACCAACATCCTCTGCCATAAAAATCTTAGAAGCAAACTCATAAAAGCTTACTTCAAAGAGAGGTTGTGAGGAAGAAATGCTAAATTAGGAACTTGCCTTATACATGGTGCTCCTAATTCATTTATTCAAGCCTATTCAGTCACTGCAAGAATAAAAAAGGCACTGAGTGCTAATACTCCTGTGAGCTGTGTGAAGTGTATATTTTATTGGAGTAGCAACAGAACAACAGAACAGTAGGCTCCAAATAATCATTGATAGACAAAATTGGGACAGGAGGGCATGGTGGTCACACTGACTACGATGTCATCAGTGTGACAGACTGGTAAGGGTCTTAGAAGTTGAGGGGATGGGAGAGAAGAAATGCAATAAGAAACACAATGGTGAGCCACATTCGGAGCAGAGACAGGTGTGATGACTCTTTAGTGGCCCTTCTCAAGACTCTGAAGTTCAAGTGGTAAGTAACAATTTATTCCAGAGCTAGAAAGGAAGTCTTGGGTAAGATTCTCTCTATTATTGATTCTGGAGGACCCTGTAGTAATTCTGGCTATGTAGTCACCATTCTAGCAGACAATAGAAAGCCCCTGCCTCAACTGTCACCACATGATATTTCTCATCACCAAGAAAGACTTGAAACCTGAGGATGTAAGGAAACATCCACCCTCATGAGCATTCATCCTGCAGTGTTTGGCACTCACACAATACCTGTGCCAGTCCTCACGCAGGAGCAGTGATGGGGGTGGATGGCTAATGATCACATCACCAAGTCACAGGGTTAGGGGAAGAGGAGTTACAGGATTTGATCTGTGTCTGAGGTATCCCAGTACCCATCTGCCCAGACTCTGTATCTTTATGAACGGTGCTGCCTTCTGTGGACATCTGTCTCCTTGGGATCTTTCCACAATTTCATCACTTTCTATTTTCTAAAATGTGCAGTCTGACTGGGCTCCTGTGTCTACAGTATGCTTTCTCATCACTTTCTGGACCAGTCTCCTAGTGGAGGGAGCACATGGAGACAACTCAATTACGGCCATGAAAAGTTGAGTGCAATTGCCAGGCTGTATTTTGAATACTTTCCTGAACCTTAAGGAAGAGACTTCAATCAAGTTTTTCACATTCATGCAGGAAGCCTCTAGGGGTAAATGTCAATCAATAACCCTGGGCAAGTGCTAGGAGCAGAAATAATATTTTCCTATTCCTGAGTCCCAAAACCATTAAGATTCAACAATTATGATTAAGTCCTGACAGTGAACCTGGTCCTATTTCCAAAATTTCACAAGTGAGATTTGATGTTCTGATTATAGAAATAGACTAAACTATGATCAGAGTGTTGGTAAGTGACTGCTCACCTGCCACGTAGTATCAGCCAAGTGACTTTATCTTTCTATGCCTTGCATTCTCTATAAAAAAAAGGGCAACGATTCCTGATACCCAAAACTGTTTTTGAGTATAAAGAGTTCCAGATACAGACACTCCACAGCTAGTGTCTGACAAACCCTAAACCCTCAATAATTCTTAGATATCAGGATTTGGAATGTTACACCTTGTGATGATTTAATTGATGTTTTCTCATTCCCTGTTCACCTCTAGTATCCACAAAGTAAGGGGTCTTTTCAGATTACTTCTCATTCTCAAGACAGAGACTGAAATGTAGAAGACCTCCAGACTGAAAAAGGAATGATGAACCAAGAACACAGTTTTTTTTACTCAATTCTGTCATCTTATCATGTGGATACTAGTCAGGCAGTAAAAAGCACTGAGTTCTGGCCTCACTTCTACCACAAAGGTAAGTCATTGTCTCCAGATGAGTGTTACTGTGGCTATGACAGCCTGTGAAACTTACATACACAGAGGCCTTATCTCCTAAACACAGGCCTTGTACACAGGCCTCTCACAAACACAGGATAGCACATCACACAGGCCTCTCTCTCTCTCTCTCTCTCAGAAAAAATATCTGGCAATCTGTCTCAAGGGTGTCCTACATGCATAAGTGTAAGGAATAGATCTCGCTCCTCCCTTACTTGAGTACCAAGAACACACCAGAAATCATTGAGTGAGTATTAAGAATTGGACATGAAAAGTTCATAGTGATGTGGGAGAAGATGTTATGGAAATAACCTCTGTGATCCATCCAAAACAATGAATGCAGTGATATGCTCTTATGAGGTTCTATATGGATTTATAGAAACAACTATCAATCCCACCTGTACATGCTCAGGGAAGACTTATCCTAAGAGGTGAAATCATATTGAAATATTCTAAAGCATTACTTTTTCCAAATCTTAAACTGTCTAAGGAAAGAGCAAGGTCAGCTTTGCAGATCTGAAGTCTTGTGATGCTGAGAGTTTGGAAATCATGTAAAATAGACAATCAGAAAGAATCTAGTCTCAGAACAACCAGGACACACTGCATCCCAAGGACCCAGAGGAGATAGACATAAATATATTAAGACATGCAGTATTTCAAATAATCCACTGAAAATCATAAGTCGTATAGATGCAGGAGTGCCTGCTATTCTGTATCTCCCTCCCATACCACTTCAGTCAGACTCTGGAAAGATGATGCTGGGATCTGCGGGACCTTGGGAACCCTAGGTCATAGAGGTCACTCAATAGCTCTTCAACATTAGAGGTCCCCAGACCTAACTGTCAGCAGTGGCTTTTGAACATAAATCATTGAGGTTCCACAGACATAGCAAGATGGCTCAAGTGCATTACCTTTTGCATGAGTTCAAACAGATCCTGGGCACCTGCTGCTTCTCAATTTCTGTTTGAGGAGATCATGTTGCAGAGTGTGAGAATCACTTAGATTAGACATAGCAGCCCTTGGGTTATGGTGAAACATTCACCAGTAAAAATGAGGAGACTAACACTTTGCCACACTTGCTTTCTCTCAAGAAAAAGAGATCTCCCCTTTATGCTTCTCCTCCTGTCCCCATTCTCAGCAT